ACTTCAAGAGGAAACCTATGACAGTGTTTAATTCTTACAACAAAAAACAAAACGAATGGGTTCTAAACTGTGCTAGAAGTATCTGTATATTGGGATCTATAATATTTAAAACTTAAAAACGTCCTTCTGAATACACTTATTGTTTTGGACTCTGATCGTTCTTTCTCTGCAGTCTTCATAATTCTCTTTCAACCTCGATCTTGAACTTCATCCGAAATGTACTGCAAAGCGCTGGTACCCAGACGCAGTTCATGCAATTTTTTATCAGCCCTCGCTCCAGGCGAGGTGACTGAGACTGTGAGAAAGCATCTCGTCTCTGAGAGCGCTGTCCGAGGGCGAGTGCCTTGGATGACGCCGCCTCGCGCGAGATTTACAGGCGCCCCCTCCCCCACGCGCGTGGATACGCGACGTTTTTACCTGTTCCGTCTCACGCGGGCAACCACGAGCGCCCGCGGCCACCACTGTTCCTACAACCGTGGTATTTTTTTACTGCGTTTTCCGAACCACTGTGCTTCGCCGCCGCCTTCGGGATGCATTCAAGGGCCTCGGCGCGTCAACAAAGCAGATAAATCAATGAAGCGGCGTTATGGGCCAATAAACCGAGGAATACGTAGCTTCGCAACTCGCGAGGCCATTAATTCCTCTTCGGGTCGTTCTCGCGCCTCGTGACGCGGAGCCATTCTTCTCCGCGCACTAATTTCAGGCGTTTGCGCGTCAGAACGCAGCAATAATAGCAGTGGAGTCAGAAAATGACGGTGCATGAGACAGGCAGACGTACCGTGCGACAGAGGTTCTCTCGGCACAACCGGAGGAACAGTTTATGTTGGAATGTGTTGGAAACACATTTGGTGCGGCGGTGAGCGAGTCCAATGAGGCGGGCGTCGAGATGAGATCACGAGACGGTACGGGTAGAACTGGACGCCTGTGGGTGCATTTGGCTAAATCACAGGCACACAAGCCAGGTCTGGTGAAGTGTATCGTGGACGAGAATGGATCCGTAAAGGGGCACAAACGTTCTAAGAATACGTTTAAATTTTGCCCGTTCGGGATTTGGCTTCTTCAGAAGAACCGTAACATGACAAATCCCAAAGACGGCTTCTTTTGCACGTCCATTCAATAGCGTAGTTCGTCCAGTCAGCTAGAAGCCTGTCCGACAGACGCGCTCTGGCCCATGCTTGTTTTTGTCCTTTTGTGGGATAATGATTTTTCTGGTCGACGGCACATTTCAACCGGTTCTGTAAATGATACTGTAAACACGGGTATGCGCGAAGACTTTCAGATCCACGAACACGTATCTGAAAAATAATCTAGAGCCGAAAGGTCTTCGCTACGGATTTGCCACTCGTGGTAGCCACGGACGCTTGCTTTTTCCCGGAACAGGTAAAAATGTCGCTTATCCACGCGAGTGAGGCCGCCTGCAAACCTCGCGCGAGGAGGCATCATCCAAGGCACTCGCCCTCGGACAGCGCTCTCCGGAACCAGACACTTTCTCACAGTCGCAGTCACCTCGCCCGCGAGTGAGAGCTAATAAAAATTCCACGAAATGCGACTGGGCCCCACTGCCACACAGTAAATTTCGAATGAAGCTCGAGAGCTGGGGCGGAGCGTCGTCCCCTCTTCCACCCGCGCCCTCGTCCGCGCTGTCGTCCCCTTCCCGGTCCTCGTTCTCGTTCTCGACACCGACGCCGACGCCGTCCTCACTAGCGTCCCTGCTTTGTCCCCAGAATCGTGTGGCCGCTTGGTTCATCAAAGAATCATCGCTACTAGCCGAGTCCATCCGCTGGTGCAGGAGCAAATGCGATAGCATCCAGGTGTCCTAATTACCAAAAAGAATGTTACAAACCACCCATACATACAAGTATTTACGAACCCCCCATACATACCACACATACATACATACATACATACATACATACATACATACATACATACAACACATACCACCATACATACCACCCATACATACAAGTATTAGGAAGAGTTCCAAGCACTAAAACTATTTTCTATATTTAGTACACGATTGTTCTTTTCTTCTTAATATTATTTATTTCGTTTCTATACATATATTTTTAACTAAAAAGTAGTTTCTAAAAATATCATTTTGAATAAATTCACTCGACCTAAGTGCGAATAATATGGTTAATACCTGTATTTTCTTACCAGACTGGAATCGTTCATGTATTTTCGTCCAAAATCAAATTGCGTTTCCTTGTTTCGACATTACATGACAGCAACACTGTCGAAGTTGTTATGATCACTGACATTTTCTATTGCCTATTCATCGAGAATTATCACTCACATCATCGTTCATTTAATAGCATTTACTAGATCTTTCTGAGAATTAGAGTACAAATGTGTTAGAAGTAGAAAATATTGGCTTCCGAGTATCCGAAAGCTTTTCTCGTAATTCGAAGGAAAATTTTTTGAAAGCAATAGAAAAAACAATTTCGTAGAAAACATTTATACTTTCGTCCGAATATTTTACCTAATAAATATATAAGTCTGCTGAATAACAGATTGTGCAATAAATGTGAGACGGATTGTGCAATAAAGGTGAAAGAAACCGTACTCTCCATGCACCAAATTCCTTTAATTAACATGAGAGCGAGGACCCTCCTCCACTATAAAAACGATAAAGTCTCTATGAACGCTTTTCCGTTAGTTGGTGCTAGGCCGTCGGAACTGAGAAATCATGAATCCATCTGCCTTCAGAGAAACAATTTAGCTTGTAATAACAATTTATGTCTCGTCTAATGAAATCATTTTAAATATATATTTCAATATTCGCCACGACACACTCGCAAATAACACCATCAGTATTCCTTCTTCCATTTAACAGAGCAAAACAATGATCAGAACAACCTCCTTTCTTTCAAAAAGGGGTTTTGCAAAGCAATGAGAAAGAGAAGGATATGCAAATAAAAAATGACAATTCCTTCAAATAATACTTGCCGTACTCAATTTCTTACAATAGGAGGAAACCAAACGCTGAAATAAGAGAAAATAGAAACCGTTCAAACGCACTTATACACCAAAGCAGTCACAAAAAACATTTATATTTTTCAATCACTCTGGGCACTGTTAACTTTCTACATTTCCAATGAAGAGAATTTCCAACATTTTCATAATACGATTAAATGCGAAACAATTCCGCAGAAATGAGATGTATTATGGCTACGTAATAACAATGCGCTTATTGTGTATGAAACGTTGTCTGAAACAGATTGAACCACAGTTTAACTGAAAGGAATGAATGCCGTAAAATGTGTAACAACGAGTACAGTAGACAATGAAAAGACTTTCTGTTTTGTTTTCGCTGTTTTTGCATTTGTTCTCATTTTCCGTTGTTATCCAGAAAAAGTACACATTAACTTCATAATAAACAGGAGTGTTATGTCATAGAATACAAAGTAATATTAAAATAGATACTTCTAAAACCGTATCAATATTCTATGCACTGCATTATATTGTACGTACTTCGTTACTTGGAAATTCATATGATTTAGAGATTAACCCAGTAATGTTACCTCCTGAAACAGGTATCCTTTATCTTATTACAACAGTAAATGTCCTGACACCGCAATAAATTGCTGGTCGGTGATGTAAAAATTAAATTATGAAATTTTAAATAAAAAGGTTTTAATGTTTTAAATATTTCCTTCAAAAGACAATGTCTAAGTACTACCAACAAAACGCTTCGAATTTAAAAAAAATAATGTACATTGATACAAAAGTAACATATTCATAGTTTCTTATCTTCAGGTCATGTTGCAAAAAAAGTCACGAAACTGCTCGAAAGTGCACAAAAGTCGAGACCGATACGACCGCATGGGAGACACAGAGCCACCTGGCGGGCAAGCAGCGTTGCACTGCCGGCGCTCATGATGCCATCTCTCGCCCACCACATCAACTACTTCGCATGGGCGCGTCGGCGCGGCGCACGCAGTGGCTCCAACAATAGCGACGTAATTTTCAACAGTCCTGTTACGTTAATTCAACGCGAGTTCCGTATAATCTTCTACCTAAATCTATTTTCAAACGTGAGAAGAGCGCACTAATTGTAGAAGATGCGCCAAGATTAACAGTTCATCTCTCAAAAAGATAATAAAAAAAACCAATTTTCGTAGAGAAAATTAGTACACAAGTCTTCAATATTTCGCATTTGTAGCTTCAGGCATGCCATCGTGGATATTAGGACGAACAAACTTCTAGTTCGTTAAATATTTACTAACAATATTAATAATCAATTAATCAAGTAACTCAGCAATAATTTACCAGAGATCATAATAAAATGTATAATGTTTAGAAACCATATAATATTTATGAATAACAATGAAGATTTCAATCGAAATCTTATGATTGTTTGAGTTAATTTTGTTTGCGTTTAGGTATGATATATTATAGTAAAATGTAATAGAAACCTGCTTTCCTATTCTTGACGTATTATTTGACAGTAAGCTAGTCATTTCCATTTCCGTTCAAGCATTTTCTGCTGCCACAATCATTAAAAAATCACAATGAGTAACAGAATTTTAGAAACAATGTTGTATACCAATGTGGAAAGTTTCCATCGAATTTTAGCTCACCACGGAATGTCAGCAAACAAAATATTCGTCTGCATTCACAGCGGGTGACCTTTTCCTCTAATTAAAGGCAGAATTAGAGTTAACATCACATGTACGAGAATAATTTCTAGAAATACCGAGTAGAATGCAGAAAAGCGAATATGGTAATGTTCCTCTATGAAGCTACGTGAACCGTGAAATAACCAACGTTGAGAAAGGATATGACTTCCAGACTGATTAAGAAGTTTCGTCATCAAGATTCAGCATCTAAATTAGAAAACGAGAGAAGGAGAAATAGATTGAGAGAGGGATGAGAGGGACAGAGATGAAAAAAGAAGATGAAAAGAAAAAGAAAATATCCGCGTTTCTTGGCCTTCTTTAATAATATGCTAAAAAATCCACAACAACATTCTAACATCCAAACAAGTTCAGTTCTTTCAATCTTTCAGTTCTTTTCAACACATTAAATAAACAGATCTTTAAGAAAGGATGTTGTCATTACCATACATGAAACTTTAAAATCCTTGCAGCTCCATGAAGGTCGAAACATGGCAAACAAAGCGCGCTAGAATCGCTAACAAGTTTTCGATAAAAAAGGACGAATGGCAATGTTT